TAAGCACTGCCACCCTGAGAGACTTTCCCAACAATGGAGTGCGGGCAATGGTCTTCAGGACAGACAAATACTTGATTTACTACAGACTAAGGAAACAGAGTCTAAAAATAACATTGCCATAATAATAATGTTGTCCGTGTCTTAACAAAAATTTAGTTCCCCACACAAGAATATTCACGTACATTAAGAATACTAAGATGGTGGCCACACATGCAACACACACGACATGGCTATTTGAGGATCTTCTATTTGATATGGATATTACTGAAGGATTTCAAACCTTAAATTTGCAGTGTTTCAACAGCTCTTGTCTGCCTAGTAACAATACATAATTTCCATGTAAAACAGTTAAGGAATGAGTGAGTGAGTGAGTGAGTTGGGTTTTAGCTTTTAGCAATATTTCAGCAATATCACGGCAGGGGACACCAGAAATGGGCTTCACACATTGTATATATGTAGGGAATCGAACCCAGGTCTTCAGTGTGATAAGCAAACACTTTTACCACTAGGCTACACAACCGCTCTCATGTAAAACAGAATTTGTAACTATTCATTTTCATATATGCAAAACAAAAATGCAGCTTGACCCTGACTGATAAAATTTTCAAACAAAAATTTGAGAAAATGACTGACAAAACTAAGAGATTATAGATTTATGACACATACACAACATGTATCCCCATGTCACAGACCATCCCTAACTGTGAGGATAAACACATAAACTAGCAGGAGGACCATTTGGCAGAAACAAATCACAAGTTTGGTCATTTTCGGGAAAAGAAAAAACAACAAGAGCAGCTGCCCCATGAAGTATTTAGATGGTATTTTTTTCAACTAAGAGTCATAAAACCAACCAGAAAGGTGATGAAAAAAGGTTGTGTATGTATTTTTATGAAGTCAGGGATGTTGAGCATCGCCACTAGCCAGGGTCAGTGATCCATGACGGACCCTCTGTCTTGTATGAGATTAGCATGGCGATGTCATCAGTCTGCTAGAGATGGATCTGGGTTTGTGACCATGGCCGGGGTCCGCTGGTTGTACAGCCACCAGAGGGAGCTATACATTAAGTACGAGGCATAAGCTCTGTCCAGTCATAAATAACACCTCAAGAAAGGGATTTTATGACATTTTTATATTCACTTTCATTGTTTTAAGTTCAGTTTAGCTTTCCGTTCGTGCTGTTGTTTAACATAAACTTCAAATCTTGGGTTATAAGATAAAAGAATTTCATGGACATATTCTAAACCTAGAATTTGGATATTTTTATGTAATAAAACTGAAAAAACATTTAAATTGCCAGACGTTATCTAGGTGATATGGTAATAATTGGTTAACATCTTAATCATTACTCCAAACTTAACTTGTTTACAACTAAAAGAAATTCACAGCTCAAAATATCAGCTATGTTTTTTCATTACATGCATCATAAAATGATAATAAGCACACAATTCCTTATCAACTGGTGACACACACTTACCCCAGGGCATAACATATATTACACATCATTGAAATTAATACTTCTGAACTGAAGTTCAAAACTGTTTTTACATTCATAAATATGACACATGTTTATTACAGCCAGGAGTCTTTCCACAAACCACAAACACCGAGAATCTTGAATTTAAAAAAATACTGCTAAAAATCTCCCCTAGTTACACCCCCAAGTAATGAGCAGTTTGGGAAGCCACCTTTCTGAAGACAATCAGCATGAACACAGGATGCAGCACGATGCAGCGTGATGCAACACAACTTAAAGGGGCCGACTTGTGATAATTACGAGAGAGTCGAGATTTTACATGCAGGTACAGCTGCTGCGTTGGGGGCGTTTGACAAGCCGCGAGATGTACATTGGTCTCCTTGTCTACACAACAGATTAATCTTGAAGATGAGAAGCTGGGGCCAATTATCGTAATAAAAGAAACTTGTTTTTTTTAAGCATCTGAGGTATTTTTAAGAAATGATCGCATCATCAAACAAACCAAACTATTAAACAAATAAGCGTTTATCTAAAAGATTGTATGGAGATTATAGGAACATATTCCCTGGGAACGGTTGGTGATTACTTGTGGAGAGAGTATGAGCTACAGAATATCTTGATTCACTGACATCAGTCCAGAAGCTTTTTTATTGAAAGACATCATTTTTCAGCTTCAACTACAGTATGTAACAGATATGGAGTCTCGACACAAAACATTGTTCACTCTACGGAATACTTCACGTCATGAATATTCACATCTTAATGATTGCTCAACTAGATGGTGTCAGGATTTAGTGCAACATAAAGTTGAGAAAAACATGCTCTGATGAATGTGTTGGCTACAGGTGCATGGAAGGGTCCATTGTTCCTACAGGGAAGACAGGTGAGAGATGGATCATACACATATCCCATATACTGCTAAAAAACCAGATAGGACGAACCTATTCATTCATATCACTACAGTAATCTGTCCATGAGAGATCATGTTGTTACTTAATGTTTTTTAGAATTATAGCCAGATTACAGTTCATTGTTATTCAAGTTAGGAATCGATCGTGAATTGCTGTTCATATTGATGCTATTGTTTTAAACCTGGTACACAAAATTCTGGGATTTCAAACATGGCAAAAAATTCTAAAATCAGAATTGAGTCATAATTCCCATGAGATTTTGAATCCTGTATCACATCTGCAATAATACTTTTGAAAAAAAACAACTAAATTAATCTGTTCTTAAAACACATATTAATAATATAACATACCGGTATATCCATTGGGGACAGATTCCTGTTAAATGGGCACAGGTCTCACCCTACTTGCATCCTACAATCCTACCTTAACATGTCAATAAGAAACTCTAACATACATGATATTGTTTTCACCCTGATAGACCTTTAGACCAACATTATGCAACACCAGCATTTGCAAATTCTGACTATGAATAAATATTGCAATATTTTTCTGCCTACATTGTCTGTTGGATAGAATATTGGCCTAGAAAACATAAGGGCTTGGCAGCATCAAAACATAATATAAAGCAGATACTTGTTATTGCTCTGCCTGGTGCTCAGTGAGTGAGTGAGTGAGTATGGTTTTACGCCACTTTTTAGCAATATTCCAGCAATATCACGGCGGGGGACACCAGAAATGGGCTTCACACATTGTACCCATGTGGGGAATCGAACCCGGGTCTTCGGCGTGACGAGCGAACGCTTTAACCACTAGGCTACCAACCACCCCTGCCTGGTGCTCAGCATTATGGGAATAAAAATAGGAATGCTCAGAATCAGCATACTATGTTTGAGTGGTTTTCCATGTTCAACTTCAGCATAGTATCTCTTCAGTCTAGCACTAAAATCAGCATTAATCGGGACTAGTAGAAGCAGCCCTCCTACCTATCACATACACATGTACATACTAACATGCATTTATGGTACCATATAAGTATAACATTATTAAACTTGACCTTTGAAACCCCATTTCATCTGATCTTCACATCGATAGCTTTATAACCACCCAAGATGTCTACATGCAGATATTAACATTTCACCTTGTAGAAGAATCACAACATTGTAGGAGGTGGACCACAGCCTGGTGTACACTAAACACTTCGGACAACGATCTACTTACTGACCAATTAGTTTTCTCCATGTTTTCCTGATAACAAACTGCAGCTTTCGCACGGCTTTGTAACTTTCTAATTAAAGCAACTCTGAGTGACACTAATTGCTACAAGCTCTATGTAGCACGAGGATGGGTTGTGTGATAAAACACACTCTCACGTCATCCAACAATGAAATAAGTTACAGATATTGTCAAAACATGTGAACATAACTGTACTTTATACAATACCTTATCACCAAACAAACCCACCAAGCTCTTAAACACCAACACAAACGCTAGTTGGGGAGACCCTACTGTTTACGGCCTGTTTTATCAATTCCTTTCATATTATTTTCGGGACTTAAAAAATTGACATTTTTTCTTATGCTCTGATTTCAAGTGTTAAATAAACAAAAGAAGTGTGGAACAAACTGATGAAACTAATTGAGAAGACAAGAGATAGGCCGTGCTTGGCCCCCTGGTGGCAGGCCTGCAACAGCACAGTATAGGGGGGACAACTCTCACTGTTGGGGGGACTGGGTGTTGGCAAGGAAATATGTCAGCCTATCTATATGTGGCTAAAAAAGTATTTAAAAAAACAGTTTGGAACTTTAAGATGAATATCACCCACATAACACAATCATTATAAAGTCAATCAAGAATATATAATATTCTTTGCATATTTTGTGAAGATGAACATTTTCAAAAACATAACAGACTTTTTATCACAAAAATGCCCAAATGTCCAATGAATTTGATGCCAATTACATCTGCATCACACATGACTGTTGCTGCATGTACAGCACTTTCTTTAACTCTGTGCTGTACAATCCATTTCAGGAACTATATTATGAATTATTTAGAACATTTTCACATGCACACGTCCTTGGTTCCTTTCTTTGCACTCTCTTCATCAAAGTAACACAAATAAAATCCATTAAAGATTACTGTTCCCCCTGGGTCTAGATATACCACATCGGGTGATGAAGCTCACCTGGCCAAGTCACTCTTTTGTCATGGAGTGTCACTGATGAGGTTCACTGCATGCATTATTTTTATATATCCCATCACCTATTCCATTTTGACTGTTACATATTTAAATTGACAACTCTACCTCCTTCAGGGTACAGGGACCATCTCATAAACTTTGTATCAGTTTGAGAAATAATAAAATAGTATGATCACTGCAACTGTGACTCATAGGGTATATATTATCTATTTCATGCTACAGGACATCATTGTAGCTCACCTTCCCAAGAAATGAAATTTAACAATTATTATATTGTTGATCATACCATATCTGAACTGACTCTTTCATACATTGATAAAGCAAACCTTACACAATCAGTGTTAGCTCACCTTACATTATGATTCAAACATTCTTCTTCTTACAACCAATATGAAAAAAAGTGATAGCTCACCTGATATCATGATCCAGACACTCTTCTTCTTCTCTCCTGCGGTGTTGTTGATGATGAAGGTGTAGTTGCCCGAGTCGATCTCCTGTGGCTTCTCGAACACCAGCTTGTTGCCATCCACATGTATCGGTCCCGCTGAGGCAACCACCAGGTCATTTCGGTCCAGGAATCTGAAAATTCAGAATAATACATATCAGAAAGGACAAACAGAAACCTAAATGCTTGAATGCACTTTAAAAAATTACTCAATTCTGATTGGCTGATCACAGGTTATCAAATCACAATTAACCACCGCAGTTTCTAATTAAGTGTAGCATGGTTCAATCTAGTCTGTCTCACAGTCATATCATTTTCCCTTCAGCATACCTCTATCTTTACTGAAAAAACCTTAAATGAAGCAAGTCCAGATTTGCAGCAATCTTCCATGTCACTTGAGCTCCTTTTCAATTTAAAAAGATCTCAAACAAAATGTATGGTGGCTGAGTGGTCTTGGTGTCTGACTTTGTGTGCTGGCGATTAGGTGCCTAACTCTGAGGGTGTGGGTTCGAATCCTGGATGGGACTCAACCCCCAAAAGTACTAGAATCTGTACTTTACTGAGAAAGTGAAATCCCAAATATAACATATGTTACATTTGAGCACATTCTAAAATTGCATTGTGTATTCCATCAAAATGATGTATTTTCAACGATTGAATGTTAAATCTACAGGTAACCTAGCTCAACACTGAAAACAAAATATGTTAATCATTTTAAATAATAATGTTTGCTGAAGCAATATCACTGAAAGACAAATGATGTAAATGTTCTCAGGTTTGTTGTTTAAATCCCTAACAATGATGCTTATTCGGCAGCCAAACAACAGGTTTCACAAAAATGAGTCATTGCTTTTGATTCCATCCTATTTTGAACAGAATAACACAGTATATGAACACGTGTGTCATGAAATAAGCCTAAAGTAACTTTACAACTTGAACCTCGAAGCAAGTGCATGGTCGCACCATACCCTACTAAGCCACCTGTACTCCCTTAGATGAAGTTGTCTTAGATCTGAAATCTTTCGGAACAGCACGTGAGCCCGAACTCACCCATTCAATCACTCAGTACTGAGATAATCTTTCACGAACACATTGATTTCTTTCTCAGTTGAATCTGCATTAATATCAATATATGACAAACACCAACATCCCCAGAATGCTGTCACTTCCTGGATTCACGTCGAGATTCAGCGGGATGCCATTCAGGGTCCTTTGATTTGAGTGGAGCTGATTGCTCAACATCTACACACAGATGTCATAATAAACCCAGTTACCTAACACAACAAACATAGCAGGTGCCCTCTCTACCTGATCATGGTGGGCATCCAACAACTGAACAGTCTGGAAACTATGAAACTTGTGGTGATACATAAATACTTGCACGTGTACTATCTTCCTGCCAACTCCCTGCACTCAATCCACACTCTCCCATGATGAAACTATCACACTCAAAACGTAAACCATCAGTTAATAATTTTTTCGAAATATTTCAACAGTTCCATTTTAAGTAGCATCAGGTATGTGCATATTTGAAACAGCAATCAAACTTTCAATCAATTAGGAGACACGAAAGTCTTCATGGCCAAAAACATTTGGCAAGTTTAACCTAAATTTAACTACATATCTACAAATTTTCAGCCCTTATCAGCTTAAAAACTATTCAGGGACAAGTTAAACAGTAACATTAACTCGACAAAGTCTACAAAATTTCAGAAGTTATCAGGTTGAATTGCGTTCCGATTCACGTCTGCTTATTTTCACTGAGGAGTGTAAACACACCCATGGAGGAAGTCTGACTGATGATATGGTGGCAATGTTGTGCAATACAAGAATTAGCAGTGTAATTTCCACAGTTATCAGCTGTTTAGTTGCAGGTTTCACATTTATCTTCATAGATTCCTAGTTTTAACACAGCAGAACTAATTTCCTGATTAAAGGCCCATCAGAACTGATGTAAGCAATGTAACGGGCCTAATTCTGCAGCAAACCTGCACATCTGCAGCCAACCATGTGGTGTATGTTGTTCCACACTCCCAGCCATCAACCAACTCACTTGTCTCATCTTTGATAGCCCAGACATTTCTTCCTGTAGGAAATATACTAAAAAAGCTCAGATTGAAGTTCAAAGCAATCCGGAGAATGTGATTGCTTGTCAGGACGTCATGACGTCACCTTTTCTATTCTTTCTGCCAGGGTTTTAACCCCGAACTAAACTACATTCTCTTCAGGGACTTAACTCATTACATGCAATCCAAAGGGTTAGATATGGAGAATACAAATGTAAAAACATAAATCTATCCCAACCATTTTAAAACGAATATACAGGTATCGAATCTACACTGAACAGCATGTATATCTTCCAAGCATATTGTGATTGTATGCCATACGTCATCTTGCAGTCAAGACAAGCACTAATTCTACAACAGAAACAGACATAATAACAAAATCCAAAACGCATTGGCAGTCTCACCATCTGACGACAAGACAGAAATAAAGATACTTATTACAAGAATGGATCTATTATAAGACTGAACACATTGGCACCAGCATCAAGTAACTGTATTTACCATTCCTGATAATCTCCTGGTTTACTACCTCTAATCTTGGCACTGTAATGCAATGACTCGAGTCAGATACTGGGGCACCCTATCTCAGACATCTGCCTCCAGCAAGACCAATCTTATCGCTGATAAATTAAGTGAACTGCATTTTCCGCTCTTTGGCAATGTTTTGACGGAAAGAAACCTTCCAAAAGATCCCACGGTGGTATGACTGACAGTCAGTCAATATTGGAATAAATACATTTATTCATACAACAACGTACTAAGACTGTCTGGTTGTAGGGATTCAATCTAGCGTATATGTGCCACTGGGAATACTATCTAACAGAATCTCCCAGAACAGGGTCTTAAAGTCGCCAACCACACCAGTCTGTATCTCCAACTATATTGATGTAACCAGTGTTACGTGCTTCTTAAAGGGACGGTTTCCTGGTCGGTAACCCATCACTGTTGTGAGAGCCAACTATATGTGGTTAAGCTTGCTTCTCATGACCTGCCCTACACAAACTTTTGCCGTCCAAATTTATATTTTTATTTTAAATCACTGATATGACGCAACATTTTCAACTGAAGTTTTGTTTCTTTCACCAGATTCTGATGTCTTGCTTGATATGTAAGAGTGATGCTCGACATTAGAAGCAAGTATATTTTCACAGATTTGTTGCCTTTGAAAGTACAATCGTCACTCTGTACCCATTCAGAGAAACTCAAAGACATATGAACTAGCCTTTCAGTCTGTGATATGTCTGTGGATAACTGCACCCCAACAATGTAGTACTCATGCTGTTGTCCACCAGTTTGCTCAGCTAGAGTACAAATGTCATGATCAAGCTGACAACTACAGCACAAAGCACTCTCTCATTCACCCATTGAGAACATAAATTCACTGCCCACTCAGACAAGTTGATACTCCAACATGGGTTAAATCCCCACAAACAAAATGGAATATTGATCTATAATATCACTTGGAAAAACCCAATATACGTGTCATATTATTTTCATAAGCCTCAAATTCTTAAGAGCCTTCTCACAAGCTGTCTTACATGAACATAAGTGTCTCAGCCAATGAGTTTTATAACATCTATAAAGACTCAAGTTACCCGTTCAGCGTGATGTTCAGCAACATGCGTTAAGTCGGTGAAAACGTTAGCCATCAGACACAGTTGAGTGTCATATTGAGTAACAAGCCATGAAAGTTCAAAGATGATCTAATCTCTCGCATACTGTTACGACACCATTGATAACTCCACTTCCGACAATGACTTATGAGCTGTAGGTAAACATCAAATATCCCCGGGTTCAACTGACTGCAAGAAAGTTCATCGGAAGGAAGTTTGGAATCTGCGTCCGTCCAAGTGCTCCTAAGCGTTGGACATCTTGATTGATGACCTACTTATACAAAGTTATTACAAAGTCCTGAAAAAGAATTCTCCCGAAATATGAAATCAATACAGAAAGGCTCAACAAGTGCTTTGCAAAATGAAGCAGCCGCGAACAGTTTATGTCAGAAATGTTTATTTAAATGAAATATTAGGAATATAATGGATTCCCTAGCTGCATGGACTGGCCAGCATATAACTCTGTTTAATCGCACATGCCTCGTTATTACAAGGCTTCTCACCCATTGTATTTTTCCTACTGGAGCTGTCCTTCTCGGAGCTAATGCTTGCTGATCTATTCTGAGGCCCATACACATATTCCTACAAATCACTTACAATGGAGGTCGGGGAACTTCCAGCACTATCAGATGTAAGCGTCTCCAAATGTATGCCCAAGCCCCATAAATATTGCCGTCTTATTGTTTTCGGTTAAAAAACTACAATGTTGATACACAAGTGCATCTTCACGACCATTACATGTAAGAAACATTCAGGATGCCATAATACTTGCAAGTAAACAAAGAATGTCATCTCAAAGAGCAATCTGTCAATGTAAAAATGTCAGCTGAGCTACAACTTCACCATTAATACACATATGTACAAAGAGGCAATATAAATATGGCAGTGAACTAGTTGGAAATCTCAGGCTACTTGAAAGGTGACAATTAAGTTTTGAGTTTTTCTAAAGATTTCTTTCATCTTTAGCCATCTGTGTATGTGTATGTACACAAGGCCCCTTCCTTCATTATATACACCAACTCTTTCCTTCACTGCCAATTACAACACAGAAGCCAACACTCTTGTCTCCCATAATGCAACAGGGAGGAACAGTAATGGCCGCAAGGATCATCACTTTGTGCTCCTTTTTATCTGAGCGCAGTGGTGACTCCTCTCATGTAAGGATGTTGGCCATGTGAGGTATGCCCTGTAAACTTGATTGGCTTTGACACTGGAGACTGTATCTACTCCCAGTACGCAACTGGTGCTGCTTCACAGACAGGAAAACATGGCCGCCAACAAGATGCTAGCCCCAGACAACCAGTTTTGCAGACAGACATCGTGAGATATCTGCCGTAACCATTCACTCACATCATTTATTTCTCTCCTCCTGCGACTTCATCTTGCGGAGTTTTACTCTACATCTTTCTTCCAAATGCTATTACATAGTTTTTGTACATTGCCCTCTTTTTCAGG